CCTCATCTCCCCGCAGCGGGCTGGTGCGCGGGCAGACGGAGGAGAGCATGAAGGAGGTGCACCCCCGTCACTGCGCCCACTATCTCACGCACAAGGACAAGGACTGCAAGCACAACTGCTGCAAAGATCCCGAGTTCGGGAGCATCCCCGCCGAGGTAGGGCAGTGGTGGGACGGCTGAGCCCTTCCCTTGCCCTTGGGGTGCTCCAGCCCTGGCCCTTCCCCACCCTTTGCTCTCCTCCATCCCCGCAGTCCTGGAAGTGGGTTCTGGCCCCGATCCTCCTCTACATCTTCGAGCGGATCCTCCGGGTCGGCGTGCGCGGCAGAAGGTGGTTGTCACCAAGGTGGGTGGTGCAGGAGCCTGTGCCTACTGCCAGCTCCTTCCCTCGCAGCCACCAGTGCCGCAGCTCCTTGCCAGGGTGGCGGGCCGCTGCCAAAGCCCCTTCCCCAGGGACAGGAGCCAGACTGGGCACTGAGCCCCGTCCCTGCCCCGCAGGTGGTCATGCACCCTGCCCGCGTGCTGGAGCTGCAGATGCAGAAGAAGGGCTTCCGCATGGAGGTGGGGCAGTACATCTTTGTCAACTGCCCCGCCATCTCCCTGCTGGAGTGGCATCCCTTCACCCTCACCTCAGCGCCCGAGGAGGACTTCTTCTCCATCCACATCAGGGCGGCTGGTGACTGGACAGAGCATCTCATCGACACCTTCCAGCAGCAGAAGCCGGAGATGCCCAGGTAGGCTGGGGAGCACCTGAACGGACCATCCCAGGGATTTGGGGAGGCCGTACCTCTTACCCAGGCCCTCCCTCGGCCAGGATTGAGGTGGACGGCCCCTTCGGCACAGCCAGCGAAGATGTGTTCCAGTACGAGGTGGCCATGCTGGTGGGAGCGGGCATCGGTGTCACTCCCTTCGCCTCCATCCTGAAGTCCATCTGGTACAAGTTCCAGCAGGCTGACCAGACCCTCAAGACCAAGAAGGTATGGGATGTCCCATGGGACCAGCCGTGGGTCTCTCCATGCTGGGCTTCCCAGTCCTTGACATTGCATCCTTCCACCCCTCCTGCTCTGCTCCACCTTGAGCAACCCCTTTCCCCCTGCATCCCAGATCTACTTCTACTGGCTCTGCCGGGACACGGGAGCCTTCGCCTGGTTCAATGACCTTCTTGCCTCACTGGAGCATAAGATGGCCGAGTCGGGCAAGGCAGACTTTCTCACCTACCGTCTCTTCCTCACTGGCTGGGACACGAACATTGTGAGTTGACCACAGGCAGCCATGACTGCAAGGGGGGACACGGGGTGGCCAAGTTGGGCAGGAGAGGCAGGGCAAGCACATCAACAGCTTGCAGGCAGAAAGTCCGGGAGCGATGTTTGGTGGGCATCAGAATGGATGCTTCTCCATGGTAAGGGACTGGAGGTGGGCTCACGGGTGGTGGCTGGGGTCCTCACTGTCGCTGCTCTGCCCAGGCCAACAACGTGGCGCTCCGCTTCGACACCCCTACAGACACGGTGACGGGCCTCAGGCACAAAACCATCTTTGGGCGGCCCATGTGGAACAGCGAGTTTGCGGCGGTGGCTGCAGCCCACTCCAGGTGAGAGCTGGGCAAGGGGTTCAGGATACTGGAGCTGAGAGGCACCCCCTCCTCCCTGGCACCCAGCGCTGGCTTTGGGAGGAGCGTGCTCATCCCCTGCAGGTTGCAGGGATCCCAAAAAGCTCTTAAATCACTTTTCCTTAAATCACTGAGCTGCCTGCCCAGTGCTGATGTCCCCGCGCTGTGTGCAGGTCGGTGGTTGGCGTGTTCCTCTGTGGGCCGGAGGCCTTGGCAAAGAGCCTGCAGAAGTCTTGCCACCAACACTCCAGCCTGGACCCCAGGAAGGTCAAATTCTACTTCAACAAGGAGAACTTCTAACTGGCAGCCAGGCTGG